CATGGCTTGGTAGTTAAGGTGCTCGACTCTAAATTTGGTTTAGCATGGCTTGGTAGTTAAGGTGCTCGACTCTAACTTTGGTTTAGCAAGGCTTGGTAGTTAAGGTGCTCGACTCTAAATTTGCAGGTTGTCGAATCGAAACCCCTCGATAAACTTGCTCGTCCTCTCAGTTGTGAGGGCATTATAATGTTGTTGTCAGTCCCGCTCTTTGTGGCAAAGAAGAGCCCTCGAGTAGGTATGCGCTAAAATCCGACAAAAAGATAACTTGGTTTGGTACGAGACATATGGGATTCTGTAACTTATTTTACAGTGATGATAATGATATATAAGGATAATGTACACATCAGGATATCCGTCAATATGTCTTGAAGTTAACCACGTGTTTATCAGAACTTGCTGAGAATGTATTTAATATCGGAACCTGAATTACAACAGACGAGTTTACAAATAAAGGGAATGACAGTGAATCGAAGCAGGTAAAAACAGGAAAATATAATCTATACAACAATTTTCTGATTAGGCACAGTATTTTTTTATAATTAATATAACAATCACAAAATCCAGAATGTTCTTTTATTAACAACCAACATTTTGGTTTTCACTGTTTCCAAGGATTAAGCGTCATCTGTTGTATCCATGATTGACATCATACAGTATTGAAAAGTACAATGATAACGTATACCTGTGTGTTTGCCATCTGCTGTGTTCACTGCAAGGAATCAAACCCCGGATTTTACCGGTGTAAGTCCATAAAATTTCCGCTGTCCCACCCATATGAGACAAAGGAACGTAATACAGAAAACTGTGAATGACGTTACAAGGGGAAGATAAATTCATTTATAAGATATAATGATAAACAAGTAGAATTAAAAGCTAAAGCTAAATGTTTATAGTTTATAATAAAATAAAATTATTAAATTTGTTTCAAAATACTCTCCTGGATTTTGTGTTTATGATTTCAATAATAATTGTTTACCTTTGTTTTATTCTATATGTAATCACTTGTTGTTGTTTGTAGGTGAGTGGTGGTTTATATGGTCAGATCATACTGTGGATAAAACTTACCTTTGTTTTATTCTATATGTAATCACTTGCTGTTGTTGTTGTTTGTAGGTGAGTGGTGGTTGGGATGGTAAGATCATACTGTGGGACCTGAAAAGTAAATGGTAAGTCCACTGATTTAATATTCTAGTTAATATATCAAAGAAAAGATTTGGAAGAAGAAATGAATCTTTACTTGTTTGAAACAATGATGCCTCGAACTGGCTGTAGATATATTTTGTTCAGTCATGTCATCAATTAGATGAAACCGAAGAATAGTAATTTCCAAGTAGCTTGAGAAAAAATCACGCTAACAGGTGGTCAGTTAAAAAACTACTAATATAACAGAGAAATCACACTTTTTACCCTCTATTACCATACACATAGTTTTATAGAACAAACTCTTATTACACATTCCATGGTTATTGTTCTCGTAGTTGTATAGGACGAACTCTTATTACACATTCCATGGTTACCGTTCTCGTAGTTTTATAGAACAAACTGTTATTACACATTCCATGGTTACCGTTCTCGTAGTTTTATAGAACAAACTGTTATTACACATTCCATGGTTACCCTTCTCGTAGTTTTATAGAACAAACTGTTATTACACATTCCATGGTTACCCTTCTCGTAGTTTTATACAATAAACTTTCCTATTTTCATTTGGTTTCAAGTTGTACTATTTAGAGCTCACCTTCTTTGTTTTGTGTGGAAGAGAAATTTAAAGTCTAAACCTCTACATTTTGTTATCTATCCAATTGTATGTAGAAAGGGTAAAAGAAAAACCCCAAAGTCTTTATCCCCCCCCCATCCAGGTTATTTAACATGTGAAACGTGTAACAGAAGAACCAGAGGGTCTCTATTCCCTTCTTCCCCTAAAGGCTATTTACCATCAATAGACGATAGCAAACGAACTCTGGGGTATCTATGTGTGTCTCCCCCAAGGGCTACTAAACATGTAGAAATGAGAACAGAAAAATCCAAAATGACAATTGTGAAGTTGGTAATCAGAACACTCCAGGTTAACTAACACCAGTTTGTGATGTGGCCAACAGACAGAGTTGTTTCCTGGAGTTACAGACTAAAGAAGGATGAATTAGTTTATGGTTTAGTGTTAGTAAGTTGCAGAAACAAAACCTAATCACGTTTAAAACATACACATTAGAGCACGTACATGCCTCTTATGTATTTGATTGAAACCTAATTAATTTACGTTCCTTTTATCTAAGCCTAAAAGATACCAAGGATTTTTCTGAAGCCCACAGAATGATCTTAGACTTGGCTGTTAACCCAGAAAAGTAAGTTATGGACACATCAAAAGATAGGTACTACTTGGATTTCCTGTAAATATATAATGAGCGCCATCTATTGGCTTCAGGTACAATTACAGTAAGTAATCAATATTAATTTTTGATCAAAGCTGGTTAGATCAGAATTAAAAGTGTACCCAGTAATAAATGTAGCTAATTAAATATATTGTTTTTGCTAATAAAGATTGAAATGTGTTGTTTCATCAACTCATTATTCCAATTATTTGTGACCATATTTCTAATAACACCCCATGAGGTTTGACCAGCTTAGGGTATTTTTTACCCAATGATAAATGCCTAATTATATAAATATATAATATTCCACTCAATATGCTTAATAAAAGTAACGTGACAGACATAATGAACAGATCACGTAAGCACAAGTGGTTCGTTTCAAATCAGACGACTTTTCTCAGTAGTGATATTTTTTGTTTATATTATTCAAAGTAAGTTTGTAATAAATCCAATAACTAATGGATCATTTCAATGATGAAGGTTCGTTTTTTTCTGACTTCTGACGATGATACCCATATTTATGTTAAATCTTCTTTCTCTCATTCATTCAATGTCAGTGAAGAAATGGCCATCGCGACATCAAGCAATATCGTATGTGTCTACAAGTTTACTGTTTGCTTAAAGCAGACAGAGTTACTCTTCACATTAACTGGCCATTTAGGGATAGTGACCGTTGTAACATGGAATCCTGTTGTCAAGCAATGGGTAACAGGAAGTGAAGATAGTTGTATAAGAACGTGGGTATGTTTTATGTAATACACATCTATACCTGTAACTACAGAGTAACATCAGATAGTTC